TTGTCTTCCTTGCACCCTCTCACCCCTTCCCACCAGAGCCACCTTTGCAGCCAACCCCAGCAAACGTCTGTCAAAGCTCCTGTGCCTTTGTGTTAGGGATCAGGCCATTGTGATCCTCTGAGGGAGAGAGAAGAGACGGGCAGAAAACAAAACTAACACCCATGGAATCCCTAGGATATGCTGGCTCCGGGCTGCTTGCTTTCCTAAAGAATCAGAACAGATACTCTCCTAAAGAGTTCTGATAGTTGAAAAGTTTCCCCTTTTCTCTACCCTTAAGACATAAAATGTTCATTCATATCCTTCTAGACTTTCTCCTACGCACATATGGGTTAACTCTACAAAAAGGAGAAGAAGCTAAGTGCTCTACATGGATTATCTCATTTAATCCCTAGGTGCTGCTATATTACCCACACTTTGCCTTTCAGGAAACTGAAGCTCAGAGGGGTCAGTGCTTTTCCTGAGGCCACACAGCTGGTAGCCCCGCCTGACCCCACACCCACGGCCCCACTCTGCATCCTGAGCATCAGTGGCTGAGGAAGGGCTGACCCTGGCCTTGTTTGGGGGCATTTGGGGCTGCAGACCAGAAGGGGTGAATCTACAGAAGGCCTGATCAGGCCCTTCCTTCTGTTGTGCCTGGTGACCCAAGCCTGGGGTCAGATTCCAGCCCCAGGAGTCCTTGTTAAGGTTTTTGAAAATGGGGGTTCTACTGCCATTGAATTGCAGCTCTGTCATTGAAGCAGGCTCCCAGCCTCCACGATTCCCAGCTGTCTGTAACAGACAGCTTTGCCTTGGATTGCTCTTGCCCAAGACCCAGTGGGTAGAGGCTAATCTGGGAGGCGGGAGGCCTGGGCCCATCACCACTTGTAACCTTGGCAGCTGCTGTCTCTGCCTGGGTCATTTCTTCTTACGTTCCTTTCACCTCCATGTAAGTGCTTGAGTGTTCCCCTCATGAGGGAAGGGTGGGGTCTGCTGGTTGGGTGAGGCTGGGGAAGGGGGAGGAAGAAGAGAAAGAACCAGGAAGGTGAAGTCTGAGGCAGGCCTGTGGGTTTGGAAGGAGCAGGATGGAGAATAACTAGGTCTGGAATCCCTGGTCCTGGGTCCAAATCCCAGTGCGGGACGTATGTGGCTGTGCAGGGTCTGTACCCACAAGAGTCCACATTCAGCTTTATCTTCTGCTATTGCATCTTGAAATTCTTAATAACTTTTGTACAAGGAGCCCAGCACTTTCATTTTGTACTGAGCCCCACAAACTATGTAGCCAGCTCTGTTACCTTGGATTAGCTGTGTACTTGGGCAAGTTACTTCGTCCCATAGACTCAGTTTTCCGGTCTGAAAAAAGAAGCCATGCTACCACCACCTCAGAAGACTGTTCTGAAAATGAGACAAGAGACTCCTGGTAAAGAGTCAGCCAGTGACAAGTTTGTGATAGGACTCCATCCCTGGCACTTGTGACAGTCGCTCTTTAGGGGCCCGGGTGGGAGAAATGTCTCCCGAGGAGCTGCAGCCTCTCCCAGCCTTGTCTGTGAGCTCTCTTGGCACCTACGGGACACTTCAGGCCAAAAATGAAAATTGTCACTGGAAAGCAAATAGTGCCACCATCCCCACTCCAAACCTACCTTCCCTCCCTTACCTATGGGTATATGGAATCAAGGGGTTTAGAGCCTTAAACTTCCAGGAAGTAAAGTCCTGGCATTTTTGAGCATGGGAAGTGATGAGCAGCATCTGCTTCTGGCCAGAGGAAGGCCTGAGGTCTGCCTGTCCCAGATGAAGGTCCCATACCCAGAGGTGCTGACGAACTCTTCCCCAAGAACAGCCTCCCGTTCCATATCACAGCCTGTGGTACTCCCTATCAGTCAGTTTCAAGGTCTTAACAACTTAGCCTCTCAGATGGTTCTGGATCTTTGGCTTCCTGGATTAATATCTAAACTATTTTCTAACAGTGAGACTTTGGGCAAGTTACTTAACCTCTCTGGCCCTCAGTTTTGCCCTCCATGAAATAACAGCTTTGACATCGTGGGTGTGTCATGAAGATAAAATGACCCCCTGCATGGACTCACAAACATGAGTCCCTCCCGCTGCCAGGCCGCCTGCCTCACACCTACTCTGAGCCAGAGAACATGCCCAGAAATGCTCTGACCATGTTTGAGTGGGCAGAGATGATGATGAAGATGCCTCCTCCCTAAGCAGGCTGCTTTCTGAACCAGCTCCAGCTCTGACCCTATAACTCCTTCCAGAATTTACTGAAAGCCAGCCCTTGTTGAAAGTTCCCAGGCATCTTGGTGGCCGGGAACTGAAGACCTGGGGTGATGGGGCTGTGCCAGTTATGGGGCTGCGAGGAAAACAAGGCCCCTACAGAATGGCACCCTCAACCTCTCCAGAGCTGGGGATGCAGCCCAGTTGTCCCTGAGCCTCCTCAGCCTGTTGTCCCTGAGCCTCTGCAGAGGAGCACCTGTGGGTTCTGTAGCTCAGCTATCCTGATTCCCCGGAAACAGCCCCAGGGTTTGCACTCGGCAACTTCCGGGCCCCACTGCAGGCTCTTAGCATATGATTGTCAGTCAAGCCAAGGGATGGGCACATGGCCCAGGCTCAGCCAATTGGGCACCCTCTCTGATTCTTGAGAATGGAGAGGACGATGGAAAGAGTTGGGTGGGGATTTGTTCTGGGGGCGCCTCCCTGACTCCTGCCCATGACTCCCTAGGGCTGCCCTGGACCCCTGTCCTCTCTAAGCCTGAATTTTCAGCTTTTCTTCTGATTCCTCGCCTTCCTCCAGGCTCCCATGCATCCCCCCCTGCCCAGAGTGGCCCAGGCAGTCTCTGCTGCTGACTGATAACCTTTGGCTCCTGCCAGCAGCTTCGCCAGCCATGGTCCAAACCAGTCTGATTGCCCCCTTCTGCTTTGAAGGCTCTGCCTGTGGTTCACACAGGCTGTGCAAGCTATTCGGCACCTCCGAACCTTTATCCCTGCTGTTCCTTCTGCCAGAACGCCCTTTCCACCTTCTCCTCTCATTCTTACCCTCGTGAAACACTTCTGACACTGCCAACTCTAGGGGACTCCCCCACGCCTCCTCAGATGGGGCTGACCCCTTCTCTGGGCAACCCCAGCCCCTGAGCTCCTCTCCCTCTGTGTCCACGCCCCCCACACCCCCCAACGCCCCCCACACCTGCATCCACCTCCCTCCTGAGTCTGAACCCAAGGCCCAAGGCAGGACCCTGCATCTTCACTCTCAGTCGGTGCTCAGCACACGAGCCAGGGCTCTAGGACCATGGAGAGGCAGCCCTGGGCACCAGTCAGGGATTCCTGGGCTGCCAGAGGCTGATCCCACTGCCTGCTGGTGAGCGGTCAAGAGTCGGGTGAGCTCAAACCCCTGCCCCTGCCCCCAGCCCAGCCCCAACCCTGCCCCCAACCCAGCCCAGACCCAAGCCGCAGCCCAGCCCTCACCCTGCCCCAGCCCCAGGCTTTGATCCAGATCTTGCCCCAGCTTTGCTCTCACTCCAGCCACAGACCTGAACCCCCAGCCCTTGCTCTGCCCCACCATAGGCCCCAGCCCCTCCCTCATTCCCAGCTCCTGTCCCAGCTCAGGCCCTTTCCTGGCTCCTGCCTCCTTCACCCTCGCTGGGGACCTTCCTCCCAGTGGAGCCCACACTCAGCTGTGGCTTCCCAGGAGCCATCTCAGGTGGCCCAGCTCTGAGCCAATGGAAGCCTTCGAGGGGGAAGGCCAGGCCAGGCCAGCCAGCAGGGTGGTGCGTGTGGTGGGGGTGGGGTGGCAGGGTGGGCATGAGGCCCAGCCCTCCCCACCCCACCTTCCCGGTGGCACAGGTCCAGTAGCTCCAACAGGAGGTTCAGGGCCAAGGCGTAGGCAGGGGCGGTTCCCAGACAGGGGTCCTTCAGCTTGCTCCCACCCCTTGCACTGAGCCAGCCCTAGTCCTGAGCCATGGGTGGGCCTGAGCCTTCGGGGGCTGAAGGGGAAATGCCTGAGCTGCAGCCACCAAAATCAGGTGGGGGATGGGGGTCGAGGGAGAGTCCCGGGACAGGCCAATGGGATCTGGGCAGCCCATAAAGCAGACCAGCCCTGATAGAAAGGACAAAACGAGCCCAGGTCTCCCAGGAGGTTGCCAGTGCCCTTTCTCCCCTTCTTCTTGGGAATGGAACTGGGAAGTGGGGGTGGGAGGGATTAGGATCGTGGAGAATCTGGCCCTCCACCCACAGGTGGGTCCTGCAATGGACACATGATGAGGACAGAAGCCAGCATTGTGATGTCACAGCCTGGCTGTGGTTTTGTGCTCCTGGAGGTGAGGGTGAGTCAGCTATGCCCCTTCCTCCCCCAGTGCCTGTCTACTGATGTTTGATGCTTGGGGTTAGAAAGGCTGACCTTGTAGCCCCTCACCTTCCCCCAATGCACTGGGCTGGCTCAGCAGTTGACCAATGAGAGTTATGCTTGCAGGCCAGCCTTGGGCGAGTGGCCCGGGAACTGTTTGCAAGGCTGTGTTGAAGCTACTTGCAACCAGACCATCTTCCTATCTTGACCATGAGCTTGTTCAAAGCGTCTCTGCTCAGTCTCCACTGTAGCTCTGTGAGCACTGTATGAGCTCAGAGCATGTGATGTTGGTTGAGTGAACAAATGCATGGATGCGGGGTGGGTGGGCAGAGATGATGATGGCGCTGCCTCCCCACTAAGCAGGCTGCTTTCTGAACCAGCTCTGGCTCTGACCCTATGACTCCTTCCAGAATTTGCTGGAAGCCAGCCCTTGTAGAAAGTTCCCAGGCATCTAGGTGGTTGGGAACTGAAGACTTGGAGTGTTGGGGCTGTGCCAGTTATAGGGCTGAAAGGAAAACAAGGCCCCTGCAGAGTGGCACCTTTAACCTCTCCAGAGCTGGGGATGCAGCCCAAAGACCTTGGGCTGTGGACTTAATGAGCCTTGGGTCCCCATGCAGTCCTGTCAGATGACCTCCAGCTGGTCACAACCCCTCTCTGAGCCTCCATTTCCTTTTCTGTGAGGTAGGGATGTGAGCCCTGGCTTCCGAGGATCCAAAGAGGAAGCTGCGGCCGTGACTATCCCATTTCTGTCTGTCTTCCTCCTGCCTGGCTCACGTGGCTCCTGCCCTCCTACGTGGCTTGGGGTGGTCATGGACACAGGCCAGAGAACTGGCCCAAGCAATCCTGGTGACAAAGAAGGGGACCTTCAAGTGCTGTGGCAGGAACTCCACCAGCTCCAGGCTAGGTACGCGTTGTCCCAGCCCCAGCCCCAGCGCCTCCTCAGTGGGCTAAGTGGCTGGACTGAGCAAACCGGCCCCGAGGAGGCCAGGACAGGGGTGGATGAGGAGGGCAGTGTGGCCTGGAAGCAAATGGGTGGGCGGGGGCTGGGCCACAGCTGTGGTGGGAGAGAGAGGTGTGGCTACTGCCCTTTAGCCTCAGATCTTGGGCCAGACCTGGGCCCTCTGCAGACTGAGTCTCTACATCAGGAAGGAGGACCGTGGGTGACCATCAGCCGCACCTGTTGACTCGGCCCCTCTAAGTCAGTCTACGAGGTTGCTGCCTTGACTCTCAGAGGGGACCTGGGGTCCTCATCCCACGGGGATGGGAGGTAGGAGAGATGACCTTTCCGGCTGCCCACAGAAGCCTGAATTAGATGCAAAAGAATGTGTCTGTGCAAAGTTTTATGAAGAAAAGGGCCAACTCTTCCAACAGATTTGAAGAGCTTCCTAATCCCAATTGGGTTAAGCGCAGTCATGGCTCACAGGGTGCCACGTGGTTTCTGCAGAAGGGGATGATGTTGCCCTACGCTTTTCAGGACCATATGGATGAGAGGGGGGCCCCAGAGAGGCAGAGTGGCTTCCCCGGGCCACTCAGAGACCCCTGGCACAGCCCTGCTGCACAATCAGAGAATGGGTCAGGAGCTCAGCCAGCTGGCCAGGCCACGCCTGCTCTGGTCTCTGCCTTTAACTGCTGACCTTGGCTGGGTCCAGAGCAGGTGACCAGCTGGAGACTTGCTTAGGGATTCCTCGAAGAGTCATGTATGACTACACATGGCCATGTATGGACGGCACATGCTGTCTCCCCTCCGGGGGTTGGCGGGGGCCTCGCCTCTGATAGAGTGCTCCCAAGGCACTGGGCTCCCCATGCATGACCCTGGCCAGCAGCTCACATCACCCCTGCTGTAGGTGGCACCCTAGGCACAGAGAAGAGAAGCACCTGGCCCCCACGTCACCAGCTAGGAGGGGCTGGCCTATCTCTCGAGATGGGAGGCACCTGCACAGCCTCCAGCGGAGGCACCGTAGACTCTGGCCAGAAAGACAGCCTTCACTCTCCCCCGGCGCCTTTTTTGCTGCCTGGGAGATGCTGCCATGGGCATTTATTTGAACTGTTTATGGCCCAGTTTGCTCAGCAGTGAAATGAAGGTGGAGAGACTCCTAAGTCCATGGCCAGCTGATAACATGATACGTGGCCCGCCCAGTGCAGGTTCAAGTAGGAGATCACAGAGAGTGTCCGGGTTCGTTCGTGGGGGTCCTGTGACACCTGGGAGCCTCCAGCCCATGTTCCTGCATCTGGTTCTACAGGCAGAAGAAGCTCAAGAGAGAGATCGAGAAGCACAAGCTTTTTGAAGACTATCTGATTGAGGTCCTTGAGAAAATCCCCGAGGGTATGTAGACAGCTTCCTCAGAAAGCCCGTTCCCTCCGAAGCTGCCTCCCAGCTGCAGGACTGCGATGCGGCATGTGGCCGGCATGTGGCCGATGAGTGGCCGGCGTGTGGCCTCATGGAGCCCCAAGCTGCTCATCTATGGAATGGGAATCCACAAAGGTCAACCCCACAGTGGGGAAGAAGGGCACAGGCAGCCGAGTCACACTGCTTGGTCCCAACCCTGGCTCCACTGTCACTGACAGCGTGGCCTCCAGCAAGTTCTCCAGGTCTTGACTTTCTTATGTGCATAATGGGAACAGCAATCGTATGTGGACTAGAGGAGGTCATCCTTGACCAGCAGAGCACAGGGCCCAGCATTTCGCTAGTACCTGGTCGATGCTGGCCATTATCATTATCATTTTGCTCGTCTCTAGCTTTGCGTTTTTGTTTCGCTGTAACTATTATTAACTAAGAGTATAAGGACATCTGAGATGAGTTTTTGTGTGTTGTTTTATGTGTACTGGAAACTCATTAGAAAAGGGAAGGGGAGTCATACATATTTATTGTTATCATTATTATTTCAACATCACCAATAATAATCAAATAATGATTACCATTTACTAAACATGTGCGCTATGCTAAGCTTTTTACTAAATCTTTTTTACCCCTCCTATGAGCTTTGCAGTTTTGTGTTACTCAAGCTCAGAGAGGGTAAGGAACTTGCCCATGTTGCCCGGTCAGGACGTAGTGGCGCTGGGCTCATCTCTGGTCCATCTGGCTTCATAGTCACTGTACTAAGTAAGTGCTAGAATGAAAGGAGCTACAGAAACTCCAAAAACTCTGCCCTGGAGGTTAGGGAAGGCTTCATGGAGGAGGTGACCTCTCCTGGGGAAGCATAGGCTTGTGGCAGCCCCAACACCCAGCGAGGCTTGTGGTTTGTGACCTTCCTAATTTAGCAGTTCCGCCCTTTTCAACCCATCCAAAATGCAGAACCACCGGGACTTGGCATTTGCTCTCTAGGGACAGGAACAATTCCTGTCCACTTCTCAGGCTCCCCGAAGCAGCAACGACTCCTCAAGGCCTCGTGGGTGGTCTCGATCCAGAGTTCATGTCTCAATCTCTGGCCGAACTTTCCAAGGTTGAGGAGTCCCTTGAAGTGGTGGGGGCAGGAGGGTGGGGGCAGGGTTGCTGGCAAGCCCGCGGAGCTTCGGGACCATCCTACTGTCTTGTGGTCAGCCTGGCATGGTCTGTCCGGCACCTCTCGACTTGGCGGCCCCAGCCGGAATTCCTGGCCAGCTTGTTGGCATGGCACTGCAGGGGCGCCCACCCATCCCCATGGCGCTGTCTCTGCAGGCTGCACGGGATGGGAGGAGTCGGAGTTGGGGCTGGTGGAGGCCATGGTGAAGCACTATGGAAAGCTCATCTCAGCCAGAGAGGACATGCAGATGCGCCTCGATGCCTTCTCCCAGATGAGCCAGGCCGTCCACCGGAGCCTGGAGTCGCTAGAGGAGGACCACAGGGCTCTTGTGCCGGTAACAGCTGCTGTTCCATTCCCCGTGGCCGAGGGAGCTGGGAGCGTGGGGCCTCCTTTCTTGCACACCCCTGGGGAAGGCCTGGAGGGAGCAGTGGCATAATGCTGAGGGGCCCTGGGTGGGGTGTGGCTCCTGAGCCTCCCTCTGTATGCCCTTCCTCTCCCCTCTGCTGCCTGAGGCTCAGCTTGTGCCCAAAACTTGTTCTGCATGGTAGAAAAGCCATGGGTCCTGTATGCAGACGGACTCGGGTTCAGCTCCCAGCTCAGCCACCAGTTAGTTGTGTGACTAGTTTGTACTCTCTCTAAGCCTCAGTTTCTGCATCTGTCAAATGGGGGCAACACACCCTAGCTTCTAGGGTTCTTGCAAGGCACCACACACAAACTGCCTCATAGTCAGTGCCAGAGACATCATTTCCTTCCCCTTCCTTCGTGGTGATCTCATAATAAACAGGACTTCCGCTGGGAGGGGTGGGCACTCCAGGTGGAAGAGCCTGCTCTGACGAAGGCATGACATCATAAAGATTCCTGCTGCCACTGGGACCGGGGACTTGGGCATCCCAGAGGAAGGATGACCTTGCTGGTTGGTGCACTGCAAAGGGCTGCTGCTTGGGGTTTGGAGAGAGCACCTGCCCCCTAGTGGCAGCACTGCAAGCCTGCACCACTTTGTGCCGGTTTTTTTGGAGAACGGGATTCATCCACGGGCTGGGCACTGCAGGAAGCCTCTCATGTGCTTTATATCACTTAACTCTCACACCAGCAGCTCCAGGTAGGTGCTGCTATTCCCAGGGCTGGGACTAGGGAAAGGCGAGTCCAGCCATGCTGTTCCTCCCATTTTAAAGGGGAGGAAAGTAAGCCTCAGAGAAGCAGGGCCACAAACCACGGGGTATGTACTGTTTTCTTTTCTTTTTCTTTCTTTTTTTTTTTTTTTGAGACAGGGTTTTACTCTGTCACCCAAGCTGCAGTGCAGTGGCATGATCTCAGCTTCCACCTTCCAGCCTGAATCAATTTTCCTGCCTCTGCCTCCAGAGTAGCTGGGATTACAGGTGTGCACGAACACACTTGGCCTGTTCTGTATCTTTCAAATTCCTATCCCACAGAGCCCAGCTGGGGGCAGGTATTAGTTCCTTCTTGTTAGCTGCTAATAAAGAACTACCTCAGACTGGCCAATTTATAAAGAAAAAGAGGGCCGGGCATGGTGGTTCACACCTGAAATTTCAGCACTTTGGGAGGCTGAGGCAGGTGGATCACTTGAGGTCAGGAGTTTAAGACCAGCCTGGCCAACATGGTGAAACCCTGTCTCTACTAAAAATACAAAAATTAGCCAGGCCTGGTGGTGCATGCCTGTAATCCCAGCTAATTGGGAGGTTGAAGCAGGACAATCACTTGAACCCGGGAGGCAGAGGTCTCATTGAGCCAAGATCATGCCACTGCACTCCAGCCTGGGCAAAAAGAGTGAGACTCTGTCTCCAAAAAATAAAAATAAAATAGAAAAATAAAGGAAAAGAGGTTTAATGGACTCACAGTTCCACATGGCTGGGGCGGCTGCACAATCATGGTGGAAGCTGAAGGAGGAGCAGAGGCATGTCTTACATGGCGGCAGGCAAGAGAGCATGTGTAGCGGAACTCCCTTTATAAAACCAGCAGGAACTAGGGCTCAGGTAAACTCCAGCAGCCTGGACATGCCCTTTTCTGCATCTCTCGTGCCTTGAATGGCCCCAGCCACCCAGAAGTATTCCTTCTTCCTATCCTGTCATTGCACAGACCACCCTGGGGACTTGGACCAGGGTGCATGCCCTGGAGGGTTTGTTGTGCCAAGATGATCCATTCTCTCTGTCCCAGAGCCTCAAGATCCGGCTGTGTCAGCTGCAGAAGAAGTGTCGCCGCAAGCAGGAGCAGTGGTGGCAGCTGCAGCATGGCGTCACCTACCAGAAAGACACTGACTTTGACATACACACACACGCCAGCAGCAGCTATAACGTGAGTCCAGTCTTTCAGCCTTGGGGGTGGGGCTAGGGGCAGAGTAGCGGAGGCTGATAGCCTCCATCTGTGTGTTGGGAGTGATAATAACCACTCACTTAAATGCCATCTAAAAACAATGGCATTTAAGTCAGTGGTCACTATCACTCCCAACACACACAGACACATATACACACAGACACACAAACACATATACACACACAGCCAGACACACACAGACAGATACACAGCCAAACACATAGATAAACAGACACATAGACACACACAGACACAACCAGACACATAGACACACAGACAACCAAACATAAAGACAGACAGACATGGTCAAATATACACAAATGCACAGAGACAGACACAGCCAGACACACACAGACACACACGCAAACACAGACACAGCCAGACATATAGACACACAGACACACACACACAGGCATGCAGACACATACACAGACACACACACACAGGCACACACAGAGACATACATAGAGACACAGAGACACACACAGATAGACCCATACCACTTCTCCTTGGTGACAGCTTGCTTTTGAGGGGCCTCTCTTGGAACAGTCAGATGTTACTTATAAAGTAACATGGGAAAACTGAGGCCACAGATATTTCAGGACTGAGCTCTACCAAGAGCCGGGATTCACCGGCCCAGTCCCCGAGCTTGGTGGTGTGCCGAGCACTTGGTCCTTGTATAACGTTTGTGGTTAATAATAAAACAATGGCATTTATGTGAGTGGTTATTATGTACTGCCTTCAGTAACCCTGGTGTCTCTCTGATCATTTCAGGCAGTGCTTAGCACAGAGCTTGACCTGGAGTAGGTGCTCCTAAATATTGGTGAATTTTACCCACATTTATTTTAAAATGAGAAAAATGAGGCTCAGAAAGAACAAGTCATGGCCAAAGTCCATGGCCACGAATTCCAGGAATTCAGGAATTCAGCTCCCTCACGGCCCCTTACTGGCGTTGGGAGTATGTGGGAGTGTGGTCACCCCTGGACCCTGGTTCCTTACCATAAATGGAGGCAGAGGTCTGTGTTCTTCTGGCCTCAGGGACTCCGGAGAACACTTGGAACCATGGCTGGGTCACGGGGCTGTGGTGGGCACACCCTCCCTGCACAGGATGAGGTCATGGGGTGGGTGTGAGACCTGCTCAGGCCCAGACTGATGGGCCTTGAGGGACTGCGTTTGGAAGACAGAGGGCTGGGGGCTGTCAGCTGCTGACCTCCCGCCAAGCCAAGGGGCTTAGGGAGCTGGGTGGGTCACAGTCTACGGAGGCCCTTCTAGGTCTTTCTCTCTAAGCTGCTGCAGCAGACAAGGACACTGGAGGTCTGAAGCCCAGGGCCCCACTCCATTCCCCTTCCCAGTCCTCTACTTCTAACCAGGCATGGACCCCAGATGCCTACAGCCAGGAGGCCCTTCTGAAAGGAGTTAGTCCAACCACCCTCTTTGCAGGGGAGGAACTCAACCAAGACCCCCAGGAGAGGAATACAGGCCAGGATGAGAAGGACGCTCCCAGTGTCCCAGCTCTGTCCAGGACACTTCGCTGGCTCGAGTGAGCCAGGGGCAGGGGCAGGGGCAGAGGATGCTGAGAGAGAGCCTAAGCCGCTGCCACCTCCTTCTCTTTCCTGCAGGATCAGCTGCTCAGCTACATGCAAATAACCATCAACAACATGGCCCAGCAGTGCTGCCCCTCTGCTCACGGAGTGCCCAAGTGCATGAGTCTCTTCTCCAAGCTCGATCTGATTAAGGTGAGGATAGACAGACGGCCTCGAGGCTCCTGACTGCCCCAGGCAGACCTCCAACTTGAGCCAGTCCTGCTCCTTAGTTCAGGCTGCGTTTGTGTTTGGCCTCCCATCAGCCCTTTCCGTAACTACCTAGGTGCCTGGTGCAGCAAGGTCCTAAGGTCTCTACTAGTCTTTCAACAAACTTGAGCACCCACTAGGTGAGGGGTCAGTGTAGAGGGTGCATAGAGGAACTTCCCACCTGGTCTTTTTTTTTTTTTTTTTTTTTTTTTTGAGATGGAGTCTCACTCTGTTGTCCAGGCTGGAGTGCAGTGGCGTGATCTTGGCTCACTGCAGCCCCTGCCTCCCAGGTTCAAGCAAGTCTCCTGACTCAGCCTCCCGATTAGCTGTGACTACAAGCGCACGCCTGGCTAATTTTTTTGTATTTTTTTTTAGTAGAGACGGGGTTTCACTATGCTGGCCAGGATGGGCTCAATCTCCTGACCTTGTGATCTGCCCACCTGGGCCTCCCAAAGTGTTGGGATTACAGGTGTGAGCCACCATGCCTGGCCCCTCCTGGTCTTTGTGTGTAGCTCCACTCTGACACATCACACACACATACACGCACTGTACGCTCATCAACATCCACACGTGATTTTTGCACACCAACACACATGAGACATACACAGACACACCTGCAGACAAGCACATAAACATCAACTGGCATGCAAGAGGATGCATACAATGATCACACACTTAACACATATGAGCACGCTGGCAGTAACTGAAGGAGCCTCTTAGAGAGTCCTCACCTTAAACTTCACACTGTGAGTCTGCTGAGTGTCTCTCCTCATCGCCCCCAACAGTCAGGATGCTGTTACTGCAGTAACAGAAAATGTGATCAGATTGGCTTTGATAACAACAGAGCCTGTCTTTTTAAAATAATAACTTTATTGAGATATAATTCACATACTATCAAATTTACTCCTTAAAAGGATGTACTTCAGTGTTTTCAGTATAGTCAGAATCGCACAGCAATTACCCCTCTCTAATTCCAGAACGTTTCATCACCCCAAAAAAGATATTTTGCATTTGGCTGCTTTCATTGAGCCTAATGCTTTCAAGGTTCATCCATGTCACAGCATGAATCAGTGCTTTTTTTAATGGCTGAATATTCCACGGTACAGGCATATTTGTATGGATACACCTTCTGTTTATCCATTCATCTGTTGACAGACATCTGGATGGCTTCCATTCCTTAGGTATTATGAATACTGCTGCTACGAACATTTGTGTACAAAGTTTTATGCAGAGATATGCTTTCAGTTCTCTTTGGCACACACCTAGGAGCGCAATTTCTGGGTCATCTGTCAACTCTATGTGTAACATTCGAGGAAATGTCAAACCCTTTTTCCAAAGTGGCTGCACCACTTTATCATCCCTACGTTCAATGCATGAGGGTTGCAATGTCTCCGAATCCTTGCCAACACTTCCTATTGTCAATCTTTTCTAATTTAGCCCTCCTTAATGGGTGTGAAGGGCCATCTCATTGTGGTTTAGATTTGCATTTCTCTGATGACTAAAGATGCTGAGTCTCTTTTCATGTGCTTATTGGCCATGTGTATCTCTCCTTTGGAGAAGTGTCTATTCAAATGCTTTGCCCATTTAAAACATTCTATTATTTGTCTTTTGTGTGTGTGTGTGTGTGTGTGTGAGACAGAATCTCACTTTGTTGCCCAGACTAGGGTACAGTGGCAGGATCTTGGCTCACGGTCACCTCCACCTCCCGGGTTCAAGCAATTCTCCTGCCTCAGCCTTCTGAGTATCTCGCACTGTAGGCATGCACCACCACACCCGGCTACTTTTTGTATTTTTATTAGAAACAGGGTTTTACCATGTTGGCCAGGCTGGTCTCGAACTCCTGACCTCAGGTGATCTGCCCGGCTAGGTCTTCCAAAGTGCTGAGATTACAGGCGTGAGCCACCGCACCCAGCCTATTTGTCTTTTTTTAGTTGAGTTGTAAGAATTCTTTTTGTGTTCTGGATACAGGTCCCTTATTCATTATATGATTGCAAAGATTATTTCCTGTCTTGCATGCTGTCTTTTTACTCCTTGATGGCGTCTTTTGCAGCGCAGAAGTTTCGAATTTTGATGAAATCCAATTTCTTTGTTTGTTGGTTTGCTTGTTTAAGATAGGGTCTCACTCTGTTGCCAGGCTGGAGTGCAGTGGTGTCATCTCAGCTCAGCTCACTGCAACTTCCGCCTCCTGGGTTCAAGCGATTCTCCTGACTCAGCCTCCCCAGTAGCTGGGGCTACAGGCACGCGCCACCACGCCTGGCTAATCTTTGTATTTTTTGGTTAGAGACAGGGTTTCACCATGTTGGCCAGGCTGGTCTCGAACTCCTGACCTCAAGTGATCCACCCACCTGGGCCTCCGAAAGTGCTAGGATTCCAGGTGTGAGCCACTGTGCCTGGCCAAGAATTTAATAGTTTTACTTTGTGTATGTCTATGTACTTGTCCTTTAGGTGTCATGTCTAAAAAGCCATTGCCTAATCCAAGGTCATGAAGATTTATACCTATGTCTTCTTGTGAGAAGTGTATGGGTTTTGCTCCACTGTTTAGGTCTGTTACTGATTTTTAGTTAATTTTTGAATATGATGTAAGGTAGGGGTCCGATTTCATTATTTTGCATGAGGATATCTAGTTTTCCCGATACCATTTGTTTAGAAAGTCTTATTTTTCCGCCTTTTCTGGTTGCGGTGTTGCGCGGTGAGGTTCTTCAGTCCACGTTCACAGCCGTCCAAGGGTCCGTCGCAGTCCATGAAGGCCTTTGGACGCAGAAGACAGCTACAGCTGTTGCGCACTGCGAACGTGGCAATGGCCTCATCAAGGTGAACGGGCGGCCCCTGGAGATGATCGAGCCGCGTACCCTCCAATACAAGCTGCTGGAGCCAGTTCTGCTTCTTGGCAAGGAGCGATTTGCTGGTGTGGATATCCGGCTCCGTGTGAAGGGTGGTGGTCATGTAGCCCAGATATATGCTATCCGTCAGCCCATCTCCAAAGCCCTGGTGGCCTCTTACAAGAAATACGTGGATGAGGCTTCCAAGAAGGAGATCAAAGACATCCTCATCCAGTATGACCATACCCTGCTGGTAGCTGATCCCTGGCGCTGTGAATCCAAAAAGTTTGGAGGCCCTGGTGCCCGTGCTTGCTACCAGAAATCCTACCAATAAGCGCATCCTGATGATCAAAGTTCACCTGTATAATAAAGTTCTTGAGGGATTTTACTGTTCCAAGAAAAAAAAAAAGTCTTATTTTTCCTTTTTGAATGTGCTCAGTACCCTTGTCAAAAATCTACTGACTAATACAAAAGTTTATTTCTGGATTCTTGCTTCTATTCCATTCATCTCTATGCCTGTTTTTATGCCAGTACCATACTGTCTTGATTACCATGGCTTTGTAGTAAATAGTGAAATTGAGAAGTGTTGAGTCCTCCAGTTTTGTTCTTTTCTGAGGTCATCTGGCTCCCCTACCAGGGCACATCTTGTATCATGAGTGGAAGTTTGGTGCCTGGGTGGGTTTCAGGCATGGTGTGATCCTAGGCTCAGTGGCACCGTCAAAGACCCATCCCTTCCATACCCTCCCATCTGCCACCTCTCTAGCACTGACTTCATCCTAATCAGAACTTGCTTCCCTCATTTGAGGCAGGTTCAGTGCAGATGTCCAAACACAGGATTCTTAGCTCCCCAGGAACACTGAGGGCAGGTCTCTTCCCTAGTGTCCAGTGAGCAGTAGGCAGTGAGCAAGCCTGTGGCTCAGCTAAGAAGGGCTTCTCCAGGAACCTCCCATCGAGGTTTGTGGAGGGCAGCATCGAGGCTGCTGCATGGCACAACTCAGTGGGCACCATTCAGTTGAAGTCTGTGTAATTGGCATCCCCAGTTATATACAGCTTGTAACTTACTCATATTGCAAAGAGATAATGAGATTTCTGAGCAAGGGCACATTTGTTTAAATAGTCACAGTGTATTAATTTCATCTTCTTCCCAAGGAAAAGGAAGAAATTATGTGGTGATATCACAGGGTCCCAAGCAACGATCAGATTGGGCCTCTGTATTGACACCTGTCAGTCACTCAGCCAATACTAACTGAGCCACCTGAATATGCTCAGCATTCTGCTGGGTAACAGGAGATGGAGGCTCATCTGATCCTTAAGAAATGAATACCCTTCAGAGATGGAGGCTGGGGACAGCCAGGGTGGGCTTCTTGAAGGAAGCAGTGAGAAGAGGCAGGTAACCACATTCAGGAAGTCACACCAGGATCTGGACTCCTAGTCATCTAGCTCTGTCCCTCCTGGCTGTGCCACATCAGACAAGTCACTTAACCTCTCTGAGCCACAGTTTGCTCATTTGCCCAGTGGCACTGATACCACATCCTTTGCAGGGCCCTTGTGAGAGTTAAAGAAGTAGGTCAACCTTTGATGATGCTTTGGTCCCTAGGAAGTGGCTTCCAGAGGCCAAAACACTGTCAGGTGAGAGAAATTTATTTTCCCTCCTAGGAGTTCATGTTGGACAAAATGGAGACCGTGAGAGTGATCGCACTGCTCAGGGAACCCAGAGTGTGCTGTTCATGGGACAGCCTCAGGGACCAAGAGCTCAGAAGACACCCCAGACCCTTCAGGAAACGTCCAAGGAGCCAGCTTTCTACCCCCAGGACCCCCTTTCCCAGCCCCCGTACTTCAGAGTGCTCCAGCCCGCACTGACCGGCCTGTGCCTTGCCGGCCCGGAGGCATCACGACCTCTCCTCACTTGCCTGGGCTCCTTTTCTTGCCACCGACACCTCTAAGCCAGTGGGAGAGAGTCTGGGGGCACTGAGGGGGTGGGCAGGGTCCCGGACCCAGCTGGAGTTGGGGGTGCTGCTCCCCGTCCTGGGGGATTGGCAGGGATCCAGGTGAGCCCTGCCTGGGATTGGGGAGAGAGAAGCAGGTTCCTGAGTTGGAGGCAGGAAGGCCTGGGGCTGGACTCCCCACCTGGGAGCTGGGGCTGCATCTCACTTTCGTGGTGGGCTCCTGAGACTGAGGAGCTTTGGACAGATGCTTGGCTGCTGGGAATGTCCCAGTCACAGGAGCTCTGTAAAGACCCACCAGGGCCATGGGACCCATGGGAGTTCACCTTGCCCACAGCAGACTGCAGAGCTAATGGGGGCGCTGAATGTGTAGGGAGCATCTCATCACTGGTTTCCGGAAGTTGAGCACCAGGTTGGTACGTTCTGCCCATCCTGCAGGTGTCTGAGCTGCCCTGGGATGGATGGTACTCTCAGGGAGCCCTTGGCAAGGCAAGGCCCCTCTCTGGGCTGGTTTTTCTACCTGTAAAATTGGGAGAGAGTGCCAGACACAGTGGCTCATGCCTGGAATCCCAAGCACTTTGGGAGGCAGAGGAGGGAGAATCACTTGAGCCCAGAAGTTCCAGACCAGCTTGTACAATATAGGGACATCCTGTCTCTATAAAAAATAAAAAATCAGCCAGGTGCAGTGGCATATACCTGTGGTTCCAGCTACTTAGGAGGCTGAGGTGGGAGGATCGCTTGAGCCTGGGAGGTCAAGGCTGCAGTGAGTCTGATCATGCCACTGCACTCCAGCATGGGTGACAGAGCTAGACCCTGTCTTTCTCTAAAAAAAAAACTGGGGGCGTCAGCGAGAGAATGTCTAAGTCCCCCACTCCAGACTGACATTCGAGGTCAAGTTTGGAAAACCCAGGTCTGCATAGAAGGCGCTTGCTTGCTTTCACTGTGCCGCTGGGGTAAAATCATCCTAGCAACCAGCACAGCCCCCAGAATAATTCAGCTCTAGAGGTCAGCTGCTGTTAATTTATCTAGATAAAGGTTGAAAGTTAAGAGCAGCTGCTGAGCTGTGAACAGGTGTGAGTCAGCAAATGAACTTTCAAAGGAGAGTTTTAGAAAAGATGCTGACTGACAGCCAAGAGCCCTGAAAGCCTGATTGACTCCAGGTGTGCTGGGAGGGGTTGGGAGGTGAGTCAGACTTGGCCACGGAGTTAAATAGGGAAGAAACACAGAAGAAGGAAGGCTGAGTGTGGCCAGGTTTTAGGAGTAGTATAGTTGTATTTTGGAGGCTTGCGGGGCTTTTTTTTGATACTGAGTCTTGCTCTGTCACCCAGGCTGGAGTGTAATGGCTTGATCTCTGCTCACTGCAATCTCCACCTCCTGGGTTCAAGCAATTTTCCTGCCTCAGCCTCCCAAATAGCTGGGACTACAGGCCTGTGCCATCACATTCCAGCTAATTTTTGTATTTTTAGTAGAGATGGGATTTCACCATGTTGGCCAGGCTGGTCTCGAACTCCTGACCTCAGGTGATCCACCCACCTCAGCCTCCCAAGGCACGGGGATTATAGGTATGAGCCGCTGTGCCCAGCAAGTAGTGTAGCTTTTGAAGGAAGGTCCAGGAGGGAGCCGCGTTTCCAGTTTCTGATCTCATAGACCTTCAGAGAAAAGAGGGCACCTCAGGTAAGTCTTGAGTGGGATTTCAGAAAGAAAAGGCTGCACTAAAGAAAAGCAACAGAAATGCCAGAGTAGGGACTTGAGTTTGGCCAGAGCATACAGGATCCCCGAGCGGCCTGAGAAGGTGGGCTGGGGGACCCACGTGAGGCGCCAAACACCAGGCTGTGAGGTTTAGACTCCATCAGGGGCCGCACGGGGAGCCTCACACACTCATGCCTCTCTGTTCTTTGTCTTTCCCACTCTTTCCAAAGCAAGCTAAAGTATCCCGTTGGTCTTCCCCATTGTAGAGGGTTAAGCCAGTGGGTCTCAGGTTTGAACATGCATCGGGAGGGCCTGTATCAGTGCAAAGTGTGGGCCACCTCCAGAGCGTCCAGGCCCTAGGATTTGCATTTCTAATAAGTCCCTGGATGCGGCAGATGCTGCTGGTCCTGGGGTTACATTTTGAGAACCACTGATTTAGAGTAAGGGCAAAACCTACGTGCTAAAGCTGGCACTGCTCCACTGTGACCACCAATTTTCCCCGCCTGGACTTCGGAATTCCCTCTGCAAGATGGAGCTGAACCAGGCATTCCAGAAGGGCTGCCTGAACCCTGTCTGACTTCCGGGAGGTGCCGGAGAGCACTGCCTTCTACACCCAGGGCACAGTTCTCTGGCTTGATGGCTGTGCCTTTGAGGGCTCTATGTCATTCTGTCCCCTGTCACCTGCCTGCTGTGCACCTGTCATGCTTGATCTAGCTCAGACAATCACAAGGAGCGTGATTGGAGCCCTTGCTTGGCGTGGCAATGGCCTGGCCACCAATCTACATTTGCAGTCAGCATCCAAGTATCTTGGGAGCTCCCAGCCTCCTCTGGGCAGGACTGGGGCCATGAACTGGACACAGGGCATCGCAGTTAGTGGCGTGGCTACCTCAGGCTGCTGGTAAGTACCAGAATGCTGTTTCTCCTTTGTCGGCTTTTTACCATGCAGAAAGCTCGCTCTGCCCTGACCATGCATCTTCAAAGCACTTTTCTCGTGGATTCTATATTAGCTGGAGAAAAACTTTCGAGGGCATTTGTGGGGGAAAAAAAGCACTAGTTCAGGCACCTTATGAAATGTCATTTCAACCGACCTCCCAGTTGGATGGATCGTGGGATCTCAAGACACCAACAGTCCTGGGCTTGGACATTTTGAGACCGAGAACTCATTACCTCCAATGAATCCCAGCTTTAAGCAACTTCAAGCAAGAGAAAATTCTTCCCACGGACCATCCTGGAAGAGCTGGATTATTACCAAATGCTGGTGCTGGGGAAACTGGCTCTTGGGAAGGGGGAATCAAATTGTGCTCTTTCTCAACTTGTGTTCTATACAGTAATTCTTTTCAGCAGTGGTTTTCAAACTTTAATGTTGACTGAAACCACATGAGAGACTTGCTAAAAATGGAGAGAACTGCAGCTTCCTCTCAGACTCTCATTCTAGGGTGAGGCCCAGAAATCTGGTGACTCCAATGCAGACAGCTCTGAGATCACATGCAGAGAACACTGGGCATCTGAATTTCCTCTCTCTCTCTCTCTCTCTCCTCCACCTCTTCCTTTTCCTCCCTGCCTCCCTTTTCTTTTTTCTTTCTCCCTCCCTCCCTTCCTCCCTTCCTTCCTTCCGACAGAATCTCACTCTGTAGCCCAGGCTAGAGTGCAGTGGCACAATCTCAGCTCACTGCAACCTCCTCTTCCCAAGTTCAAGCGAGTCTCCTGACTCAACCTCCTGAGTAGCTGGGATTACATGCACCTGCCATCATGCTCAGTTAATTGTGTTTTTAGTAGAGACAGGGTT